GATAGTGAAATATAAAAATTACAATTTAAAAAGTTTTTAAGATAGATCTAGCAATGAGCATTTTTAAAAATTAGAACAAAAAATGCAAATTTAAAAACTAACCACAGCCTAATGAACAGTTAAGTGATCATCTCTTAAGTAGTGAAGTTCTTTTTCCTTCCTGCTTCTATTTTTAAGAAATAATGATCATCTACTCAAATAATAAAACTTGTGAACATTCTAGTCATTTAGTATAAATAGAATATTTTAATAAGAGTCTGTCTTCATCTTTCTCCTGACATCTTAGCCTCTGCCCCTTAGTAAACATTGTTAACAGATTGTTGTATGTGTATCATAACCTTTTCCTGTGTGTGTAGATGCTAAGAGGCTGAAAAAAAAAGTAAAAAGATGAATTTAATTTGTCTTCAAATACATAAAAGTGGTATTAGACATAGCATCTCAGCTTGCAGTGCTGGAGAGAGATGATGCTGGTGCCGTAAAGGGAGGCCCAGGCAGCATGACTGCCACAGCTGCGGAGATCTGAGCATCAGTTTGAATGACATTATGCACAAAACCACTACGTAACAGCCCCAGTCTCATTACTTGAGGCTTCCGTGCAGATCCTTGAATTAACAGAGCAGTTAAGGGTTCGAATCGCTAAATTTCAGCTCATATTTCTATATTTCGTTTTTTTAAAGATGTATTTATTTATGCATACAGGACTGGGGGATAGGCCAGAGGTGCAGGGGAGGTGAGAGGATTCACCAGAGACACAGTGGGGAGCAGAACAGGCAGATTGATGAAGTCCACTGCTGAGGGGAGCAGCAGGTAAAACCGGAGAGGTCTGCCAGGCAATGTGGGTCAGCTCCCTGGCCGGGGATTGAACTCGCAGCTGCAGCTAGCTTCCTAGTGCTGTGCTTTAACACACTGTGCCACCAGGGAGGGCCCTCATGTTTCCATATTTCTGTAGACTCTTTTCTAGATGTTTTTTTTCTCCCTTCCTTCACTTTCATGAATTGCCTTATGCCATGGCTTCTACTTTTACTGCTTTTTCTCACTATCTCTTGTTTTGGTCATTTAAGGGGTCCTCTTGACTATCCCTATAATTCTTGTACCTACATCACATTACATGCTATCTTTCTCTGGTTCCTTGGGCCTTTCTAAATTCTTCACAAAGGTGATTATAACATGTCAGTGTAGGTTTGTCAATTGTAACAAATATATTGGGCTGGTGGAGATAGTGATAATAGGGAGGTTATGCATATGTGGGAGAAGAATATAGGAAATTCTTGAACCTTCCCCTCAACTTTTTTGAGTCTAAAATTGCACTAAAACCATAAAGTCTTAGTATAAATCATATCTTGGGTTGGAGCCTGAAAACCTGTTTTTTTTTTTTAAATAGACCACTTTTTAGAATTGCTATTTTAAAATAAATTTCACAGTGATTCTAGTGCACATCCAAACTAGAGATACTAGCTTAAGTATGTCACCCCTCAGTCTCCTGAATTCCTACAAGTCTTTCCCCGGGTCCTCTTGCTGTGCTGTTTGGAGTTATCCATACCTGCCACAACACTATATTTATTTGCACCCCACCACCTCCTTAGAAACCCCAGACCCCACTCACCAATCTGGAGAACCACGACCATCCAACACCAATCTGGAGAACCACGACCATCCAAATCTTAGCTCAGGCAAATAAATGACTTTTTGTTCCCTTCTAAACACATTTTTTGGTCACCTCTCTGAATATCTGTGCCAGATTTACTCAGATGTATTTTAATTGTTTGAGTCCATGTTTGGCCCACCACTAAACTGAGAACTGAAGAGCAGTGTTTTTTTTTTTACAAGTTTATTTTTACATCATTTTGTACATTTTTTTTCCATCTCATTTGTAATCCCCGTGGGTTTCCCATCACCAA